ATCTCATATTTTCCATAAAACATTAAAGATAGTATGAGAACAGCCACCTACAATTTGATATGTATTTTTGATAAGAATAAGTTTTATCTGAAATTCAAATGAATTTCAAGCTCAGTTGGTACAGCAGGATACTCTTAACTTCAGGGTTGTGGATTTGAGCCCCACACTGAGCAAAAGATTCCTGTATTGCAGGTGGCTGGACTAGCAGGTTTCCTCAGACTTGGCCCTCCAGGTGTTTTTGGTCTACAACTCCCATGATCCCTAGCTAGCAGGACCAGTGGTCAGGAATAATGGGAATTGTAGTCTCAAAACAACTGGAGGTCCGAGTTTGAGGAAGCCTGGACTAGATGCTCCTTGTGGTCCCTTCCAACTTTATAATTCTATGATTCTATGAATACTGCTCAGTTCTATCTTATACCACAGTTGTTTAGAACTCTTTACTGTGCTGAATTAAGATAGCATGACATAGTTATGTCACCGTCAATAAAGAAAGAATGCAAAATGTCTTTTTCTATTCTTTTTTATTATTATTTAAAAAGGCTACCAAGAAGCTCTAAAGCTTGCAAAATTACCTTTGTTCCATATTGATGTGTGGGTTTTGATTTATTTATTTTTTAAAAAAGTATTTCTATGTTAGCACACTAAGTTTTATGGCAGTGTTTCCCAACCTTTTTTGGGCAAAGGCACACTTGTTTCATGAAAAAAATCTCGAGGCACACCACCATTACAGCCCCGTGACGTCAGCGCGCAGCGTCACGCCGGGAGGGACATGAATTGCTAGCAAATTACATAATCACCTCCTTGAGGGCTGGCTCATCTTCTCCGAAGGCAGAACCCCATTAATTAACAGCACAGACTCACACCATAGCCAAGATGAGGGGGGAAAACCTCAGTCATGCACAGTCATGCACATGTGGGGGCTAAATGAGGACGAAGACCGGGCAGAGAGCAGGGTTCAAATCACCCCACCTGGCCAGGACAATCCCTGGGTGCTCCCTTGGGCCACTCGCCTGACCCACCTCGCAGGGCTGTTGTTGCGAGGATAACACGGGGAGAACCACGCGCGCCGCCGGGAGCTCCTTGGAGGAGAAAGCGGGCGATGAATGCAATGCACGAAATATATGAGAGGCGACCAGGTTTTGCAGGTGAGGGGCCCCCGCCAGCCTCCGCTTCCAACACCCGGCGCAACGACGCCGAAGTTTTCCCCCGGGCTCGGCTCGGGGAGCAGCGCTGCTCCCCCCCGGCTCCCCTTCGCCCTCCCGGCTCTCTCTGCCGCCCACTGGGGACCCCCCTCACCTGCCAAGTCCGGAGCGCCGGTGGAAGTTGCATGCATGCATGCAGGGCGCCGCGTTGCCATTGCATTGCACTGCACTCCATGCAACGCCTGCACGCATGCATTGCCTTGCACGCCCGCCAAGGGGTCTCCCCGCGGTCCGATGCGTCCCCTCCGGCGCGGATGCAGCATTGCAAAAATAAAAAAACCCCGACGCAGCCCTACCTGGGGGGCAGCCTCCGCCTCCGCCGCTCCGCCTCCGCGGGGATCCCCGGGCTCCATCCTGCCGCCCGATCTCCGGGGGGCGCAGGCAGGCTGCGCGGGGTCTGCGCGGAAGAGCCCCTGCCCGCCCGGCTGCCGCCGCTGCGCTCATTCCATGCCCGGGAGAAGAGCGCTTCAAACAAAATGCCCGGCCCGCCAGGCCACGCTGGGAAACGTAGTTCGCGCACCCCGCGCGGGCGCGGAGCCCAAGGGCGAGGGGACTACGGATCCCAGCAGCCCCCGCGCCGGGGACGGAGGGGGAGAGGCCGGGTGCAGGGATGGAGGGACGGGTGGGCGAGTGAGTGAGTGAGTGGCAGCCGCCAAGCCTTGGCCGAGAGCCAGGAAGGGCCTCCCCGGAGGAGGAGGAGGGAGGCGCAGAGCGGGAGGGAGGGAGGGAACCCCAGGGGTCATCTAGTGACGCCGCCCCAATCGAAAATTTGACTTTAAAAAAAAAAATCTTTCAATTTTTTAATTTTTCCCGCGGCACACCAGGCAACATCTCGCGGCACACTAGTGTGCCGCGGAACAGTGGTTGGGAAACACTGTTTTATGGAGCTGCATTTGGGGGGGGGGGACAGAATTTAATATGAAGCATTTCTTTACTTACACAATATACAGTGAGGAATGTCTCATTTGGCCAAAATCCACTCAACACTCTGCTACTACCCAGTTTGCCATAATGTCTTTGGAAGGACAGAATCAACTTTTGTCTTGGACAATACAGACTACACCTAGCTCTTCATGAATTTGATGATGCCACTACAGTTCATATAATATAACGAGACACATAGGAACAAAGTTTCCTATAGACTCTTGATTTGTTTCCCAGAAGACAAAACTAAAACGAAGAATTACAAGATTAAATGAGATACCTTATGAGCATATTCTGCTTTAGATATACAGTTGTACCTTGGTTCTCAAAAGGAATTTGTTCTGGAAGTCCATTTAACTTTCGAAAACGTTCGAAAACCAAGGGGCAGCTTCCGATTGGCTGCAGGAGCTTCCTGCACTCAATCGGAAGCCGTGGAAGCTGCGTCAGACGTTCGGCTTCCAAAAAACGTTTACAAACCGGAACCAGAACTCACCAAAACATTCGAGTCACAAGGCGTTCAAGAACCAAGGTATGACTGTACTGTAACAGTGCTATAAAAGACAGTGATCCCATTACCACTAACGACACATGGGCAGAGAAGCTGATGGGGATTCCCCCCTAATAATAATAATAATAATAATAATAATAATAATAATGCAGCTTCTTCCCTGGGGAAGCTCCTAGAGATGTTTGAGTCACATATTAATTTGCCTTTTTATACAGGTGTTTTCATGTTAGTTAGGGATCAATGGAAGTTCTTCACTTAGTACAAGTGGAGCACTGCCCATCCTAACCCCAAGCCCCCCCCCCAAGCTGTAGTCCAATCTCTTATGTTCCTTATCATTCATATGCAATATAATGTATCACATTTGGATACAGTCTGTTCTTGTTTCATAGCATTAGGCAAGAACTATGAAGAGCCTTCCCAACCAATCAAAAGAAAGCATTTTGATCTGAGCCAACCAGTTGCATGTTACTTGATGCTCTTTTCTGAGGCTGAGGTACTTTTTCTTCCATTTGCAAGCACAAGATTAAAGCAGCCACAAGCACAAGCCTTTCTTCTTTTCTATGGCTAGCCAGCCAGCCTACCAGTCTTTGTAATCAGCAATGTATCTATGTGAGTTCATTGTTTCATTTCTACGTTCATCATTGCCACACACATGCACACCCAAACACACATTTCAATGAGAGTGGTGGCAAACTATCCCAAAAACACGTTTGACTGGTGGGAAGGAGGGCAGGGAACCTGGTTTATTCATGGGCAAGACTGAGCCCTTTTTATTGTTAGGGGGAACGGGAGGGGAAAGAGTTTCCTGGTTGCATGTTTGGCTGACATCATAAGCATGGAGTGGGGGAAGAAAATCTGGTTTCCTTCATTGGCTGGACCAGGCCTTTTTATTTATATTCTCTTCACAATCAAAACCAACCACCTTTACAAAATGTTAACAGTTAAAGTCTTGTTTTGCTACTAAAAAGTGGTGAGGAGGGGTGCCTACTTTTGGGTTGTAGATATGCTTAAAAATAAGACTTTGTTTCAGTCCTCTCCACTCCACAAGAGCAACTCAAGGAAATGCTAATGTCCATACTTTCATGATTGATAAAAAGGTGTGCAAAACACAGAGCAGAGTATCTTTACCTTGCCAAGCAAGGCTGATGTTCATAATTACTGTCTCACAGTGACCTTCTTTTATTGAAGAGATGTGTTCCATCTCATCTATGCATGCATAAAGAAAACCTCCACACACACAAGTTAACTTGGAATTAGTACACTACCATATAACACACACAACAGATCAGTAACTATGAGTCCATGCTTTAAGAGTCTGTTCCACTCCAACCTGTCCTTGTCCCAGCTGCAACACACTTGCTTCTTCTCTCCTAAATTCATTAGCTTAATTTCCTGTTTCTTCAGCTCTGCTTCCTCCACCTATGTTGAAGAGTACTGATGATCCCCATATCAATGCACCCTACCCCACAGGCTTCCATGTCTCATCACCTCACTCAGTCTGCTGTTTTACTTGCGCAATGTCTCCTGCTATGATAGCCACTGCGATGTTACAAGTTTCCACCATATCCTTTTGTAACTTTTCATTAGATATCTGAACAGGAAGCACTGCTCATTAACTAAACCAAATGGAATTAATTGGGAAACACAGATATGACTGCACTGACTTTAGGGCTAGCAGTTCCATTCCTCAGTTTCAGCAAGATATGGAACCACCACTTCCTGCCCTCTCCCTCAAAAAAGAACTGTCACATAGATCTTTCTGCGTACCTTCTATACTGCAGACCAAAATATTTCATACCCAGAACCAAGTTTATCTAATGAAACAGTAGGCTTCAATATGGCTCAATACATTTTTTTTCCAATAAAAAGTTATTAAAAGTTTTCAACATAAAATACAATAAAAAGCACACTATAAAGAACACTATACACAGCAGCAACTTGCACAGTTGGAATTGCATACTACCATTTACCTCTTGGCCATACAGATCCTTACATCTTAAATTTAATCCAATGATGGACTTACTGGAGAAAAAAAATCAATTATTATGTGCAAAGCAGTCTACTTGGGAGATTCTGCTACTTCCACAAGCTAAACAATTTCAAAAATAAAAAGTAAGTCAGCATCTACTGTTCTTTATTGCCAACAAGCTGTTGCATTAGAGAGCTGGTTTGCAGCCATCTTCTCTTATTACCAGTGCAGCAAGAACATTATACTATGTTCTTCTTTACTTAGGTACATGGCTTTCAAGGAAATATACATATAGACATACACACACACATTTATTGCCCTTGCTACTATATTCAATGCTCAGATTTTTTCAAAGAAATGCTTCAGCATCCAACACTTTGCTATAAACAGAACTCACCCGATCTGCTGATGCAACCTCTTCACCAGCTAGACATATAGGAGAGGCCATCTCCAGCACAGACATATTAGTAGGGGCATCAGTAGTTGATGAGGATCTGGGCCGGCCTGAATGAATATCCTGGAGAGACTTCCTGTTGATTTGGGGGCTTCCCTTTGGAGGCTCTGCCTTGCCCCGTCTGCTATGCAAGCTTGTTCCTCTCTTCATTTTAGGTGGCACTCTGATTTGTTGTAGAACTCTGTTCAGAGCTGTGGGGTGGGTAGAGACACCATCAATTTCAGCACATGTGCTTTGATTTTCCAATTCCGTTTCAAGCTCCAAATCAACCTGAGCTTGCTGAACATCATGGGGAGACACTGAGGACCTCCTACGTTGATGCTGGAAAAGATGCTTCAACCCTTGACCAATCACATTAATATTCTCCAAGGCATTGTGGGTAATTTTGGATAGCTTTTGCTCCGATTCATGCTGCCTTTTGGTCTCTGGATCTTGAGACTTTCCTCCAAGGTCAGGATCATCATAGAGTTGTTCACTACCAGAAGGCTCCATCAGATGACACCAAGCAAGTTTATTGTGACAAGTCAGACACAGATGTTCTGTGCCCTTAAAATTTGTTTTTGCTGAAAAATGCCAAGATTGTCAGCCAATAAAGTGTGCAATTGCTTCAAGAGTGAATACACATGCAGCTGTGCCACGGTGGTCTCATGCTTATCTACTGTTAAAACAAAAAAACTAGGGTTACACATCATGCACAGATTAAGGTTATTCACATTGAAAAAACATGCAGCTAGTTTACTCTCTTCTCAATCCTAAACTTTTCAAGCATTTTTTTTTACCATGGGGATTAAGTGCATTTCCACTGCAGGTGGAACACAAAGCTTATGAAAAAATATTCCAAAACCAAATGCTATATTAAATATAGAAACTATACCTCCCTACCAGCAGAGCTGGTATACTGGAAGGCAAGGAAGATTTTGTCAGAGCCGTAACAAGCATACCCCAATTTTAATATGCGTTGTGCTACACAAGGCTGGATTTGGCAGCTTATCACCATGGTATTAAGGAAAGGCAATGTAATTCAACACATTGCTCTATATTTCTAATAAATTTTATGTTATTACAAACTAAAAAAAATGGAAAAAGCAAAATATCTTGTTTCAGGCAAGGACCAGAAGCAGGGACCAGATTCCACATTGCCAGCACCAAAATATTTTGTAGGTACCAAAGGCCATTAGCAAAGGCTCTCTTAGGAATCTCAAATGTCTAAAATGACTGGTTCTTGTATACGTGGGCAGCAGAATGGCAGCAGCATTAAAAGTGGGTCTTGTTCAGACTCACAGGAACAGATAATAATAATAATAATTTATTATTTATACCCCACCCATCTGGCTGGGTTTCCCCAGGCACTCTGGACAGCTTCCAACAAAATATTAAATAACAGAACCTGCTCCTTCAGGTATATTGCTTCGGGTAAGTGGAAAAGGCAAATAGCTATAATTATGTCACACTACAGGCAGGTAGCTGAGGAAGTAAGCAAGTGAACTCAAAGCAACTTGAATATTAAGAAAGGGAGCATTAATAAAGTTAACAATAACTGAACAGCCTTGTAATACGCTTGTTATGATTAAGTGCGAATCACATGCATAAGCTGTGTAAGATGATAAAATGGACCATACAAATGAAGCTCAGTCTTGGCAGATCCTGCATGAATTTTGAGAGAAGTTGACAGAGATATATGATGTTTAGACTGGAGAAAACATCCAACAGAACATATTAAGAGCCATTATGATGATCAGGACACATCTTGAATCAGGTTTGGAAGTCTGTTTTGCCAGTCCTAATACTTGAACCCATGACCCTGGGATTAAGAGTTTAATGCTCTACCAATTGAGATATCCTGCAAAAGCAAGCAAATATTGTCTGTACAAAAACTCGAGCACCTTTGCTACCCTTCTCAGACCCTGCACAATATAGTGACCCACTGGAAATAAAGCCATCCCAAATTCTACCATTGTGATGTAACATGTTGCAAGTTCTGTTAATGACTGAAAATTGGGCTACCACTATTTTACCCAACAATTGGGCTACCACTATTTTACCCAACAAAAAATAAGCAGGGGCTTATTTGTACACATTTGAAAACTTAAAGATACAACAAATGCCTCCAATATTAATTCCCACCATTAGTTTGTATAAATATATACTATCCTATTGATGTGTAGTAGTATATTTCTGTGACATATACAGCTAGGAATAAGGCAGCTGTTCTTATGGCATGCTTTTATATGCTTTTCTATGATAACAGTTTAAATCACAATAATCTTATTTCTCCACGGACAAAAGACAAATTATGGCATAATAAGAAGTTATGCACAAGTGTCAGGAATCCACATGCAACAGCACCATTCCTCCTTTCAGGTGAGTAAGCAAACAGACCAGAAAGTATTTAATGCGACGTCCAAACTGGAAAATATGGGTATTGGCATCCAAACAAGTCAGGATATGAAACCATAGTTTGAAGTCGGCTTTTGCATCCTGGCTTGTTTGGCATTAACCATTATTTGCTTCCAGTATATTTCCTGACCCAATTTAAAGTTCCTGTTTTAACCTGCAAAGTCCTAAGAGCGGGTTACTTGAAAAGATCACGTCCTCCTTTGTATGCCTACCTGCACCTTAAAATTCTCTTCAGAAACCCTTCCCTAGGTGCCTCCACCAATGAAATGAGGCAGAGGGCAACTAAGGAGATGTGGTTTTTTAGTAGTGGCATATCAGCTATGAAACAGACTTCCCAGAGAGCCACACCTGACACCTTCTTTATCTTTTTTCAGTGCCAGTTGAAATCCTTTCTATTCTCCCTGGGTTTTATAACCTGCATTTTAAATTGAGGCTGTACAGTAAATTATTCTATGGTGCCTCTGCGCAATGAAGCTTTTTGCAGTATTATTAATGAATATTACGTATTACTGTAAATTGTGTTTGATGTTTTTATTTATTTATAAAAACATTTATATACAACTGTGTCATGAAAATATCTCACAGTGGTTTACAACATTATAAAAACATAAAACCACACAATAAAGTCATAAAAAGTTAAAAACCAACATCAACAGACCATTGTGGGGGGTGTACTCTTAATTGCCTGCATAGGCCTGGTGGAATAGAAAAGTTTTAAGCATGTGTTTAAAAGTTGGCACAGAAGGCGCCCACTGTACGTCTCTATTGATAGGGTATTCCACAGGACTGGGCCAATGAAACTGAAGGTTCTGTTTCTCATTGTTGCCAAAGAAGCCTCACCAACGCAGGGAACAACTAAATGAGTTCTGCAGATGATCTCAGTGACTGAGCTAGAATATAAGGAACAAAATAAAAAAATTCCTTCCAGTAGCACCTTAGAGACCACCTAAGTTTGTTATTGGTATGAGCTTTCGTATGCATGCACACTTCTTCAGATACACCTGAAGTGCATGCACAGATTAGAGTTTTGTGAAATTCCATCCTGCTAGAGAAGACTGCATAGATTCTGCAGCTAATCCAACAGCCCTTGTCATTCAATGCTTTGCCTATGGGGATCTCACTATGCAGCTATTTCAAGAGTCACTACATGTTGTCAGAAAATGCACGCCATTTGTGGTTAATGAACCAAGTGGCAACTAAAGCCAATGTTTTCCTATTTATTTCTACTGTGTGTGGTCAGAACTTTTCTCATGCTCCCAAACATTTGCTGGTTTGCCCCTTACCCTTGAAATTCTCCATAAAAAATATTTCTGTATATTCACTAAATTGCTTTGAAATATTCTACTATGGCAATGGCCAAGTCTCCAAGTTTATTACATGGACAACTTTCACTGGAACTCATGTACTACCGGCTTTAGGGAAAAAAAACAGCAAAAGTGCTACCTAATGCAGAAGATGAAACAAGCTGCAAAACACCATATATACAGTCAGTGGACATACGTATTTGCAAACATTACAGAACTATTCTAGCATCCTTTCAGTGAGACTTAACACAGCTATTGCAACTCAGATGCCAAGACACTACTTAAATATAGGGAGGAAAAGGTACTTACCTCCACCACTTATCCTTAAACATGACTGGCTGGTGGGGCTCCTCTGTCAAACAGCAGCTTGGGGGAGAAAAAGTTAGACAAAACTTAGAAAAGAAACATACACATCAAGGGAATGTGACTTACTGAGGTTACTTTAACTCCAACACTGTAATAATATGCCCCTAGCTATGGTTGGTCTCAGCATTACTAATAGGCAACAAAGAAGGAGTAGAAAAATGTGATGACTTCTGTGCACCTGCACATTCTGCTAAACTTCAGCTTACACAGCCATGCCCCTATTCTGTCTCTGCAGACAAAGAACTTGCTGGGAATTTGCCACAGTCAGTGAAAACTCTTGAATATTTGCAAGCTGAACTTTCCACATGCTCAAAGCTATTCAGGGATAGGTTTGCAACAGTGGATTAAGCTTCACTGAAAGGCTTTTCTGCCAAAAATAAATAAGATACCTTTCATTCTTTAATTTTTTTTTAATTTTCAGTTTTTTACAAAAAAGCACCAAAGTTACATGAGAAGACTGCTTCTAAAGCAGTAGGATTTCCCCTTCTCCTACCTAAATCAGCTGCTGTGGGTCCCTCAGAGCAGATTTTATAGACACATGGGGGGAGACTGGGGAGGAAGCAGGCCCCGTTGTGTGAGCACTTCATTGGAGTCCACACTATAATTATTATTTTTAGCATTAACAAATACTAGAGCAGGAAAAGAGAATTCAAATCGCAGAGAAGGCCCATCAAGCTGAAGGGTTAAACTTCAAAAATGTTTCATAAAAGCATCAAAAATTGGAAGGCACACAACTATCCCATATACAAATTTTAATCAGCAAGTAGTAATTGAAGCAGCATATGGCAAAGCACCTCTTACACAGGGATCTCTAATTCAGATTCTTACATTTTGGCTTGAATCCTAATTTTCCTCCCATGAATGAAACAAAGTCCACATACATGGAACAAGGATTTCCCATCTTCCGCAGCTCCTACACCCCCTGAAAATGAAAGATTGCTCCTGTTTAGGAGACCCTTGGGAATGGTGCAGAATATGATGTAGGGGGCCTGGAGATGGAAGAATTGGCAGGAATCACTTTTTCCTTTACGTGAATGAACAACTTAGAATCAAACTCTTTCCAACATCAAAACTTGTGGATGTTTCCATGTATATAAATATTGGGAGATGGGGGAGATTTTACAGGCAGATATTGATTTCCAGTGCACACATACCATGTTGGTGCTTTATTCCCATATTTTGCTCACTACCATATTTGTGTTGACGATAAACATTTAATTAACTACTGTGGACAGAATAAGTTGCCATTCAGATGATCTGCATAGGAAAACTCTTACCTACTAGAACCAAAATATCAAAATAAGGGTGTGTTGAGGCCAATGTCCTTGCTGCATTTCAATTTAGTCTTGTCACTAAGGTAAAGGGACCCCTGACCATTAGGTCCAGTCGTGGCCGACTCTGGGGTTGCGGCGTTCATCTCGCTTTGTTGGCTGAGGGAGCCGGTGTACAGCTTTCGGGTCATGTGGCCACCATGACTAAGCTGCTTCTGGCGAACCAGAGCAGTGCCCGGAAACGCCATTTACCTTCCCGCCGGAGCGGTATCTATTTACCTACTTGCACTCTGACGTGCTTTCGAACTGCTAGGTTGGCAGGAACAGGGACTGAGCAATGGGAGCTCACCCCATTGCAGGGATTCAAACCGCCGACCTTCTGATTGGCAAGTCCTAGGCTCTGTGGTTTAACCCACAGCACCACCTGCATCCCTTAGTCTTGTCACTAGCTGCTCCAATAACTAATGTTCATTATATCTTGAACACTGTGCATTCTCCTTCCAGATTTGTGGCATCCTTAATGTAACACTGGCACACACCACATGCAATTGATATGTTGGGGAGGGGGGAGAGACACAGATGTGGCCACAAGTTAAGTAACCAGAAGTTAGCAAGCTACTTCTTAAGTGGTGAATGGGCATATGAGTACAACAGAACAAAGTGAGCATTTAACATTTATTTTGATAGAATCATAGAACTGTAGAGTTGGAAGGGACCACGAGGATCATTCTAGCCCAACCTGCTGCAGTGCAGGAATCTTTCACCCTATGTGGGGCTCGAACCCACGACCCTGAGAATAAGAGTCTCATATTCTACTGAGCGAGCTATCCCTCAGTTTGAGTAGAGACCAAGGTAGAAAGGAAAGCATCAAACTGCACATACAGTATAGATTTATAATTTGGCCTATTCTAGTTATCTGTGCCATGTATTGAATTACTCACAACTGGACAAGTTTCTAAACTGCTTAAATTTTAAAATGTCCAAATCCCAGCTCCTTAATATGACATTCTAATTGTTGCAGTTAAAATTATTCCAAGAGGAGGATACAAGGATGAACAAAGCAATTGACATATTATGCCATGTCGGTCCCACGGAATACAAATCATAATCATCATCCATACAGTAGATACACAGCTGCCCTAAACAACATCTGAGAAAACAACTGATAGGCAGCTTGGATTTATTTATATCATATGAGGTAGAATAGTGCAGTTTGTGAACTACACCTGGGTAGCAGCCCAGCCAAGAAGATGGTTCACCAATGTTATCACTATTTTTTTGATTTGGGTCTATATTTTATTTTATTTATAAAAGGAGAAATGGGGGTGCAGAGGAACAGACAAGATAGGAAAGGAGAAAATGGAACAGATACTGTAAAATATTGAGTGGCTCTGTATTCTATTTCCTACAACGCACATCCTTATCCCAAGCTAGTCATAGCCTCTTCAAAATGTAACCAAATATGATGTTCAGTAGGTGAAACACAGCTTGTGGGTGGTAAAATGCTTTTCCCCAAAACACAAAGTGGAAATGCAGGCTGCTGTGAGAACTGTCAAAGACACTTGTGGCTTTGGAACGATCTTGAAAATCCTAATGCTGCGATTAGCAGAATAATGCCTTATAACTTTTCAAAATAAAGTTACCACAGAAGAATTACAGGCAAGCTGCCTATATGATTTTCCCACCTGCATCCCCATTCCTCCAACTGGCTAATGCCACTGAATCCTGCAGAGAGGGGGGAAAAGAGGAACCCTGCATACTTATGCAACTCCTGGAAAACAGATTCCTCTGGTTGTGTCACTCAAGTGCTGCCACTTTGGTATTCTGGCCAGAGGCAGCCAGAACGTCAGCAAGAATTGTAAAATTCAAAAGCTAGAAGCTACACTTATTTCAGTAATTGTTCAAATACTTGTTCAAGTTCATTTATCATTTTTTTGTTCTTTTTCCCCTCTGTGCATGCGTGCACGTTCGCACGCACGCACCCACCCACCCAACTATGTCTGAAAAGATATATAGATACATGCAAATGAAGTTGATGCCTAGGAGATCCGTACTGGTTTATAAAAATCATGAAGATAGCATATAGGCAGGCTAACTACTTGTTTCAGAGTAATGCTGTTCTGTTCATGTGTTCCCTTGAGAACAGTTGGCTCCAGTCTTATAAAAAAAGTTGATCAATACTCTATTTTAGAGCAATTTCCTACCTGTGATGTGGAAGAAAGATAGCATTGACATACGCAGCCATGAGGCAGCTAGCAAACCATTTCAACCACAACTCAAAAGCAGAAATGTGGTCTGATTAATTTTACTGTATATAGATGAGAGACAACAGTTTTTGCATCCAGCAGTACAAAACAGGTGATGGCTAAAGAAACTATGCCAACTACAGGACCCTGGCTTTTTCATCACAGTAAGGCATTTGGAAGTCACAAGAACTTGCAACTGGTAAAGAAAGAATCAATAAATCTGATGTCCACCTTTCATAACCAGTACCTAGTATAGGAATCTTAACAACAGCCTTTCTGAAGAAAACTTTTATTCCATTCAGAATTACAGTTGGCACACATAAAAAAATTAATCTAGGTTTACTCAGCAGATTTTATGTCACTTAAAGAACTGGAGCAAGCACTCTTTGAAGTTTAAGGAAACTGTAAAAAACAAAATGCCTTCCCCCAAAATAAGTTTCTCAGTAAAGTATGCACTCCTTTTTCATAGTTCTGATATAGCACCCTATATCAGGCTATGATAAATATTGTTTAAATATATCTTTTTTATTAAACCAAGTGCATTGTTAAGGTAAGATGACAAACATTCAAGTTATACAGGACACACACATGCTGTTTAAGTGTACATACACTGCAAGTTGCTTATCACTGTTTCAGATCTGGTTTAGGTGTCAATCCTGATTAACAATAAGTTAGCTAAGGAACCGGAATTATATACCTGTACCAAACTTGAGAGTTCTTCAGCAGTTTTCAAATTATTATAACACATCCTTATGTTTAGATCTGCTTTAAAGCAATCCTACCAGTAAAATTAGAGGATAACTCAGCTTTACAGCTCCAATAAGAAGTTAAGAGCTGCATAAAGACGACTTTAAAAAAAAAAATGCTCCTCACCATGTCAATGGGTCAGGTAGGTTTTGGCTAATCAGACAATCCTAGAAACAAGGTAGGTTTTGGCTAATCAGACAATCCTAGGAGCGTCTTCCTAACATTGGAACTTCAGAGGGGGAGTGCGATCTATGTCCCGTCCTCAAACACTGATACAGTGGTACCTCGGATTACATACGCTTCAGGTTACATACGCTTCAGGTAACAGACTCCACTAACCCAGAAATAGTGCTTCAGGTTAAGAACTTTGCTTCAGGATGAGAACAGAAATTGTGCTCCGGCGGCGCGGCAGCAGCAGGAGGCCCCATTAGCTAAAGTGCTGCTTCAGGTTAAGAACAGTTTCAGGTTAAGTACGGACCTCTGGAACGAATAAAGTACTTAACCCAAGGTACCACTGTATAAGGTTGTCTCTGCACCAACCAGGCAGTTGGTGCTCCCAACCACCTAGGATGGTGTTTTACAAATTGCATCACTATTACCAGCTGAATTTTGCTTCCTTCCATTCTTAATGTATTTGATGCATCACTCCTTCTAATGCAGAACTTACTGTGCATTACTCCATCCAATAGCAAACGGAGATGGCAAGTGCCAAAAGAACTGGATCAAAGATGGGGAC